AGGGCAGCACTGGTGGGTGGGCACAGGTGGGTGGCACTTCTGGGCACAGGTAGGTGGCACTTCTGGGCACAGGTGTGTGACACTGCAGAGTGGCACAGGTGGGTGATCTGCTGGGCACAGGTGTGTGACACTGCAGAGTGACACAGGTGGGTGCACTGCTGGGCACAGGTGGGTGCACTGCTGGGCACAGGTGGGTGATCTGCTGGGCACAGTTGGTCGGAGCTAGTGGGCGCACTGCTGGGCACAGGTGGGCGGAACTTGCGGGTGGCACTGCTGGGCACCGATCATCAGGGCACTAATCATCAGTGTCCTGATGATCGGTGCCGATCCCCGCTGTGACAACTGCCGGTTCTCGGCAGTACTTTCCTCACGATCTGACAGCGTGAGGAAAGTGCAGCCGAGAACCGGCACTTGCATTTCCCTGTGATCAGCGTGTCATTGGACACCGCTGATCACGTGGTAAAAGGCCGCTGGGATCGGCCTTTTACCACATCACGTGATCAGCTGTGTCCATAGGACACAGCGATCACGGAGATCGCCGGGTGCACGCCCCCTGGGGCGCGCAGGAGAGCGCGCGTTCTGGGAGGACGTCATATGACGTCCACCCAGAACTGGCCGGCCGCAGTGAAGCCGTCATTCGGCTATCTGCGGTCGGCAACTAGTTAATGGCTGTGTGTTGAGTTATTTTGAGGGGACAGCAAATTTACATGTTATACAAGCTGTACACTGACTACGTCACATTGTAGCAAAGTGTCATTTCTTCAGTGTTGTCACATGAAAAGAGAGAATCAAATATTTACACAAATGTGAGGGGGGGACTCACTTCTGGGAAATATTGAATATGAGGGTTTTGAAACACCACCACGAATGGTCAGCTGGAGCACAGGGCAGCTGATAAGGCAGTACAGCTGGCCCTCCTGTATGGGGTCCAGTTCAAAAGGGACCTGCTGAGCTGGAGGGCCGGCTGTACTGATTGTTTCCTGGGTCTGCACCCCTTCCACCTGCTGTCGGGCCCCCTTATATGTCCTTCTCCTCCGCAGCACTGCTGCTGTCCCTCATCTCCCACCAGCAGCTGCTGCGTGCACTAAGGGGGATCAGCTTCAGAATCAAGAGTGGGGATAGGACCGGTGAAAATGTAATATATACCGGCCCCTTCCTTTCCAATCGTTCCTGTGTCCATTCATCACCCCAGAAGCCTCAGAGCGCTTCCCATGCATTCACTGTCCACTGCAGCTGAGGCTAAAGAGAGAAAGGGGACTGAGGAATCATGTCCTCAGTCCCTTTCTCTGTCTCAATTCTGAAACATTGGGGGTCTGATAATTCACCAAAGATCCCCCAAAAGGGCAGGTTAAACATAAAATTCTAATTTAAAAAATTAAAATATTAAACAATAATTGAAAAAAAATTAAGGGCTTTCTCAAATGTGATTTGCTTTCTGAAGAGCAGCAATGGCATTGCTCTTCAGAGAGCGTTTGACAGGTGGTATTGCCTCCTCACTGACTGCTTTTACCCCCACACTAGTGTACTTTGCACAAGGTTGCTGGGCCCTTTCAGAGGTGCTCTATACACTGGAGTGGGGTTTGTTTGATGGGGGTGTACCTTCTGCCATGGCTACGAAACATATATCAACGCATCAGTGGTATTTTTAGCAAAAATACACTATATTGCCAAAAGTATTGGTCTCCGGCCTTTCCACACACATGACCTTTAATGGCCCCCAGTCTTAGTCCGTAGGGTTCAATATTGAGTTGGCCCCGCCCTTTGCAGCTATAACAGCTTCAACTCTTCTGGGAAGGCCGTCCACAAGGTTTAGGAGGGTGTCTATGGGAAGGTTGGACCATTCTTCCAGAAGCATATTTGTGAGGTCAGGCACTGATGTCGGGGGAGGAGGCCTGGCTCGCAGTCTGCGCTCTAATTCATCCCAAAGGTGTTCTATGGGGGTTGGGGTCAGGACTCTGTGCAGGCCAGTCAAGTTCCTCCACCCCAAACTGGCTCCTCCATGTCTTTATGGACCTTGCTTTGTGCACTGGTGTGCAGTCATGTTGGAACAGGAAGGGGCCATCCCCAAACTCTTCCCACAAAGTTCGGAGCATGAAATTGTCCAAAATGTCTTGGTATACTGACACCTTAAGAGTTCCCTTCACGAGAACTAGGGGGCCAAGCCCAACCCCTGAAAAACACCTCACACCATAATCCCCCTCCACCAAACCTTACACTTGGCACAATGCAGTCAGTCAAGTACCGTTCTTCTGGCAACCACCAAACCCAGACACATCCATCAGATTGCCAGACAGAGAAGCAAGATTGGTCACACCAGAGAACACATCTCCATGCTCTAGAGTCCAGTGGCGGCGTGCTTTACACCACGGCATCCGACGCTTTGCATTGCACTTGGTGATATAAGGCTTGGATGCAGCTGCTCGACCATGGAAACCCATTCCATGAAGCTCTCTACGCACTGTTGTTGGGCTCATCTGAAGGCCACACCAAGTTTGGAGGTCTTTAGCTATTGACTCTGCAGACAGTTGGTGACTTCTGCGCACTGTGCGCTTCAGCATGCGCTGACCCTGTGACACCTACATTTAATCTACATTTTCGGAATGCATTTACAAATATATGTAAAAATTACTTTTTTATACAGTGAAGGAAATGCGTATTTGCTCCCCTGCTGATTTTGAATGTTTGCCCACTCACAAAGAAATGATCGGTCTAAAAATCGAATGTTCGGTGTATTGTAACCCTGAGAGACAGAATACAACAACAAATTCAGCAGAAATGCATGTCTAACAAATGATGACGGATCTGCATGTTCATGAGGGAAATAAGGATTTGATCCCCTATCATTCAGCAGGATTTCTGGCTACCAGGTGTCTTTCATACAGGTAACAAGCTGAGATTAGAAGCAGTCTCTTAAAGGGAGTGCTGCTAATCTCATTTTGTTACCTGTATAAAAGACACCTGTCCACAGGAGCAATCAAACAATCAGATTCCAAACTCTCCACCATGGCAAAGACCAAAGAGCTGTCCAAGGATGTCAGGGACAAGATTGTAGACTATACAAGGCTGGACTGGGCTACCAAACTATGGCCAAGCAGCTTGGTGAGAAGGTGACAACAGTTGGTGCAATCATTCACAAATGGAAGAAACACAAAACAACTGTCAGTCTCCCCAGGTCTGGTGCACCATGCAAGATCTCACCTCGTGGTGAGAGGGGGAAAAATGAACTGGAATGCCTAAAAAAAAGCCTCAAAAATGCGCATGCATAAAAGCATTCGAAACGCATCTGGACTGCGTTTTTTATAGTGTGAACCAGCTCTTCATAGGATTTTTTTCTTTTTTTTTGTACCAAAGACGTGTAGCAGAATACATTTTGGCCCTTCATTTATGAAGAAATTTGATTTTATTGGATATGTTTTTATAACAGAAAGTGTAAAATTTTTATTTTTTTTTTATGTTTTTTATTTTCATTTGTATAATATAAAAAAAAAACAGAGGTGATCCAATACCACCAAAAGAAAGCTGTCTTTGTGTGAATAAAAATAATATACATTTATTTTGGGTACAGGGTTGCGTGACTGCGCAATAGCCACCGATTAAAGTAGCACAGTGCTTAATAGCAAAAAAAAAAAATGCCCTGTTCACGAAGGAGGTAAAACCTTCTGGAGTTGAAGTGAATAATATTCGGGGTTATTTTCTACTTTTCCCCCATTTTCTATGTTGGGATCTTTACAATACTTTGTTATAATAATGGGACACGTTGTGTATTGTATTGTACACCGATTTTACATTCAGCTGCCCCCACTGATGGCTGAATGTAAATAGAATTGCTGGCGATTAAAAATTTTGCAAAACAGCGGTGTGGGGTCCCCCCCCCTCATCCATACCAAGCCCTTCGTGTCTGGTATGGGTTTTGAGGGGAACCCCCATGCCAACATTTAAAAAAAAATGGGTTCCCCCCCACAATCCAGATCCAAGCATGCAGCCCGGCAGGTCAAGAAAGGGAGAGACAAGCAAGTGCTCCCTCCCCTCCTGAACCATACCAGGCCACATGCCCTCAACATGGGGGGGTGCTTTGGGGCACAGGGCTCTCCCCCCAAAGCACCTTGTCCCCATGTTGATGGGGCCAAGGGCCTCTTCCCCACAACCCTGGCTGGTGGTTGTGGGGGTCTGTGGGCGGGGGGCTTATCGGAATCTGGAAACCCCCCGGCTTCCGCCATGTGAATGAGTATGGGGTACATGGTACTGCTACTCATTCAAAAAAAAGCGAAGTGTGAAAAATGACTGTAGACAGTCTTTGAAAAAAGTCATTTATTAAAACAACAAAAATAAAAAAAATGTCCCCCAAAGTAGATCCAACACCAATCATGATGCCCGCCACCGCTGCCGACCCAGAGAAAGGAATAGAAAACGCTCCGCTCTCGATGCTGAATCCCGACAGCTCTGCCGCCCTGACAGTTCTTAACCCCTCGCCTACTGGGCACGTATACCCCCTTCCTGCCCAGGCCAATTTCCAGCTTTCAGCGCTGTCACACTTTGAATGACAATTGCGCGGTCATGCAACACTGTACTCATATGAAATTTTTATCATTTTTTTGAGACAGATTTCTTTTGGTGGTATTTAATCACCTCGGGGATTTTTATTTTTTCTTAAACAAACCAAAAACCACTGAAAATTTTGAAAAAAAAAAATGTTTTTCTTAGTTTTTGTTGTACAATTTTGGAAATAAAAGATTTTTCTCCTTCACTGATGTGCACTAATGAGGCTGCAGTGATGGGCACTGATAGGCTGCACTGATGGACACTGATAGGTGGCACTGATGAGGAGGCACTGGTAGGTTGCACTGATGGGCACTGATGAGGAGGCACAGGTAGGTGGCACTGATGGGCACTGAAAGGCAGCACTGATACATGACACTGGCACTGATAAGCAGCACTGATAGGCAGCACTGACTGGCACTGATAGGCAGCACTGACTGGCACTGTTAGGCGGCACTGATGCGCACTGATAAGCGACACTGACTGGCACTGATTGGCAGCACTGATAGGTGGCACTGATTGGCATTGATAGGTGGCACTGACTGCCACTGATGGGTGACATTGAAAGGCAGCTCAGATGGGCACTGATATGTGGCATTGATGTGCACTGGTATGCACTGATATGTGGCACTGATGGGCACTGGCACGTGGCACTGATGGGCACTGGTACGTGGCACTGATTAGCACTGACTGCTGGCACTGATGGACACTGACAGGTGGCACTTCTGGGGCCACACTGATCATCAGTGCCCTGATGATCAGTGTAGATGTCCCCTCCGCGGAAAGCCGATTACCGGCTCTCCTCTGTCAGTGTGACAGCTCGAGAGGAGAGAAATGCCGATAACCGGCATTTCCCTGTTTACATGTGATCAGCTGTGATTGGACAAAGCTGATCACATGACCGAGCCGACATCTTTGGCTCTTTCCGTGATCCGCTGTGTCCGAGGGACACTGCGCTCCGGAGATCGCCGCGCTGCACGCTCCCTGAGCTGCGCATGCGCAGTGAGAATGGAAGGACGTCATATGACGTCCTATCAGAACGAGAGAGAACCACCTTGCGCCCATCATTGTACTATATGGCGGGTGGGAGGTGGTTAAATATCTAAGAGGCAGGGCCACCCAGTGATGTCAACTCTGCCCCCCTGTGACATCATCGACCCAGCATGCCCTGGTCAATGACATCACAAGGGGACAGGGACAATTGTGCTGTGATTGGCCAAAGCATTGCACCTGACCTAAGGTCAGGTGCAATGCTTTGGCCAATCACAATGCACTGTCAGGGTGCAGTGCACTGTGGGGTGCAGCAGGTGAACGACCCTCCAAACGCCCTTACTGTTCGTGATTTCGCCCTTACAGTCTAACATCAAGCCCATCACTAATGACCATATTTGGGAAATGATGTCACCAGAATCCCCTCTTCCCTTATATACAGTGTAGCTGATGGCAGACCAGGGAGCCGTCATTCAACTCGGTGTAGAATTGGGGTCAGTCGCATGCATTGGATTGTCCTCTTTTTTTTTTTTTTTTTCAGCGAGTCAGCAGTGGTGGCCATCATGATTGAGGATGGATTTACGAGGGACATTTTTGGGGAATTTTTTATTTTGTCGAACATTTCTAGGTGGCAGCTTTTTTCTTTCTGTGAAAGGGTATGGAGATTATGTACCCTGTACTACTCAGTCATGTGTGGGGGGGGGGGGGGGGTACCTGCTGGCCTTCTTATTGTTAACCACTTGCCCACAATGTGCTTCAGTTGGGCAGGCCAAACAGGCAGACACCCCATGTCTTCTGCCCAAAAGTTCAATCAGGGTTCAGTGAACTTCAAAGATGTTCCTTTTTGGTTTAATACAACTTTAAATGGTGTTATTTTTTTTTTTGCAAGTGTCACACAGAAAAAAAAAAAATAAAATGCACAGAGTTTCCCAACATACATAGCAGACCCTTTATGCTTCATATTCATTTTTAGGGGAATCCTCGTAAAAAAAATGCATCAGGTCCTTCAGGAAATCCATACCAGACCCTTAACCTAAGCATAGAGCCTGGCTGGCAAGGAAGAGGAGGAGGACTGTGCTCTTTCTCCCTCCAGAACCGGTTGGGGTCACACTACCAGATGCTTCTCGGGGCTGCAGTTCCTTTGAGCTCCACAAGGTGGGGATCTCACTTCTACCCAGACAGGAAGTCTCTATGGAAGACAGACAGGAAGTGATGTCAGGTACAGACAGGAAGTTCTGGGTGAGAGGTGAGGTGGGAGGAAATAGAGAGGAGACGTTGGTGGAAGTGGCAGCAGAGGAGGTAATAAGATGTTATTTCCTATTTAGACCCAGTAACCCCCGTCATGTCCATCCTCTTCCCCCATAGTCACGTCCGTCCTCTTCCCCCATGGCCGCGTCCGTCCTCTTCCCCCATGGCCGCGTCCGTCCTCTTCCCCCATGGCCGTGTCCCTCCTCTTCCCCCATGGCCGCGTCCTCCTCTTCCCCCATGGCCGCGTCCCTCCTCTTCCCCCATGGCCGCGTCCCTCCTCTTCCCCCATGGTCGCGTCCCTCCTCTTCCCCCATGGTCGCGTCCCTCCTCTTCCCCCATGGTCGCGTCCGTCCTCTTCCCCCATGGTCGCGTCCGTCCTCTTCCCCCATGGTCGCGTCCGTCCTCTTCCCCCATGGTCGCGTCCGTCCTCTTCCCCCATGGTCGCGTCCGTCCTCTTCCCCCATGGTCGCGTCCGTCCTCTTCCCCCATGGTCGCGTCCGTCCTCTTCCTCCATGGTCGCGTCCGTCCTCTTCCCCCATGGTCACGTCCGTCCTCCATAGTCACGTCTGTCCTCTTCCCCCATAGTCACGTCCGTCCTCTTCCCCCATAGTCACGTCCGTCCTCTTCCCCCATAGTCACGTCCGTCCTCTTCCCCCATAGTCACGTCCGTCCTCTTCCCCCATGGTCACGTCCGTCCTCTTCCCCCATGGTCACGTCCGTCCTCTTCCCCCATGGTCACGTCCATCCTCTTCCTCCATAGTCACTGTGACGTCTTTTATCTCCAGCAGATGATGATACATACATATATAGTGTGGGAACCCAGATTAACCCCTTCAGGGGCACAACATTCCCCCACTTCCGGGGCCGGAACATTCTCCTCATTGTGGGCTTAAATGATAGTTATGAGTGTATATATATACGACATATCAGACTGGTTGTCGCTCCATTTCCTCAAATTGAACCTCTCCAAAACCGAGCTCCTGATTTTCCCCCCCCCAGCCCACCCCCCCCCATCCTCTCCATCACGACCAACAACGCCACCATCAGTCCCACCCCGCAAGCCAAAGTCCTAAGTGTCACTCTAGACTCAGACCTGTCCTTCCAACCCCATGTCCAATCGTTGGCAAACTCATGCAGGCTCCACCTCCGCAACATCTCCAAAATACATTCGTTCCTAACCCCAGACACTACTAAACCACTCGTTCACTCCCTTATTATCTCACGTCTGGACTACTGCAACTCCCTTCTCACCGGCCAACCTCATCACAGACTATCCCCGCTTCAGTCTACCCTGAACTCAGCGGCCAGACTCATCCACCTTACCAACCGCTCCTCTTCTGCCACCCCCCTCTGTCATTCCCTCCACTGGCTCCACCCCTCTCTGTCATTCCCTCCACTGGCTCCACCCCCCTCTGTCATTCCCTCCACTGGCTTCCAATTGCCCAACGCATTAAATTCAAACTTCTAACACAGACATACAAAGCCATTCATAACGCTGCCCCAAACTACCTCACTGACCTGATACCCAAATACCACCCAACCCGTAATCTTCCCTCCTCACAAGACCTCCTACTTTCTAGCTCCCTGGTCTCCTCCTCCCACGCCCGACTGCAGGACTTTTCCAGGACTTCCCCCCATCCTCTGGAACTCACTACCCCAATCAATCAGACTGTCACCTACCCTCCTCACCTTTAGGCACACCCTGAAAACCCATCTCTTCAGGGAAGCCTACCCCACCCTCACCTAACAGCCGATCTCCTCCACTCCTCCTACCACTCCATCCCCCACAGCCACTTCCTCCTGTACCACTATCCCCTCCCTCCTAGATTGTAAGCTCGAAAGAGCAGGGCCCTTGAACCCCTCGTATTTTGTTTTGTTACTGTATTGTCTCATGTTCTGTCCCCCACTATAATGTACAGCGCTGAGCAAACCTTTTAGCACTATATAAATACTGTATAATAATAATATTGTATACAGTGCTCAACATAAATGAGCACACCCCACAGATTTGTCAGAAAACCTTTCCGAATCCACATTTTCTATGGGACACTATACTACAAAACCCTCCCCACCAATGCCGCCATGAATTGCCAACAAGATTTGTTAATTTGCATTCACACAAAAAAGTATATTTCCTAACAAATTCAAGACCATGTTGCAAAAATGAATACACCCCAATGAAAGTCTTAGGAGCAAAGCTAAATTTTAGACAAAATCCTAATTAACAAGAATTCAGCTCCAGGTAAGTCTATTCATTAAACAGGTGGCCAACAGACAGGTGATTATAAAAGGGCGTTACTTAAAGAAAATCCCTCCCATTTCATGCTGTCAGCAATGGCACCACATAGAAGAGAAATGTCACAAGGCCAGAGAAAGAAAATACATTTTTTACTCAAGAAAGGTGAAGGCTACAAGATCAGGAAAGCTTTACTTATCAGAATACTGTAGCAAAAGTGATACTAAAAATTTAACAAAGATGGAACTGCAACCATCTCACAGAGACCTCCAGGCTGTCCACGGAAGTTAACACCTCGAGAGGAGCGTCTTCTGATGAGAAAGGTTGAAGAAAATCGCCATGCAAGTTGACTGCAGTTGACTAAAGAAGTCGAAAGCCAAACTGGGCTGATTGTTTCCCGTGACACAATACGACGTACACTGCAGAGGAATGGTATGCATGGGTGTCATCCACGAAGGAAGGCTCTCCTTAAGCCCATGCGCAAAAAAGCCCACCTAGAATTTTCCAGGGCACATGCTGAAAAAGAAGAACACTACTGGGACTCTGTGCTTTGGAGTGATGATACTAAGATAAATGTTTTTGGAACTGATGGCTTCAAAACTCTGTGGTGTCGCAAAGGTGAGTAGTACAAATAAAAATGCATGGTGCCTACTGTGAAACATGGTGGTGGTGTCCTTCTGTTGGGCTGCATGAGTGCTGCTGGTTTCAGGGAGCTGCATTTCAATGATGTTATCATGAATTCACAGATGGACGGCTCTATATTGAAAGAGAAGATGCTACCAGCACTCCGTGCCCTCGGTCGTCGTGCAATTTTTCAACATGACAATGATCCAAAACACACATCTAAGGCCACTGTTCTATTTCTGAAGAAGAAGAAGATGAAAGTGATTCAGTGGCCATGTTTGTCTCCTGATCTGAACCCAATCGAACACCTATAGGGAATTCTGAAGAGACAATTTGAGCATCACTCTCCATCCAGCATCCAGGCTCTAAAAGAGGTTGTTCTTGAAACATGGAAAAAAATCGATGTTGTAATATGTTCCCAACTTGTTCATTCCATGTCTAGAAGACTTGATGCTGGCCTTACAAATCATGGAGGTCATACAAAACATTATATGGAGGAGTTCTTGTTGTGGGGTGGATTCATTTTTGCATCAATTAATTTGAATAAAACGGAATATTTTGTAATTTTTATATATATATATATTGCTAAAAAAAAAATGACAGGCAGACTTTGTAATCAGAGTGTAGCATCAAGTCAATGAACCTCCTGTGATATTGATCTGATCAGGTAAGTAGCAGAGGGAGTTGTTCATCAGTTTCAGCTGCTTTGGTGTTAATGAAATTAATAACAGGTGCACAAGATGGGCAACAATGAGACGACCCCCAAAACAGGAATGGTTTTACAAGTGGAGGCCACTGACATTTTTCCCCTACTCATCTTTT